TATATATACATATACATACACACACAAACATACACAGACATATAAATTTAGCTTCACTTCTTCCATTTTAGTCATAAAAACTAACCTCTTGTGTAAATAACTGTAAAAAAAAACGTTAGCATAAAATGCTCCAATTCCTCTCTAAGACTGAAGAGGTTTTAAGATGCTAGAAGTTAACTTTGTTCTGCGCTCCCTTTATAGTAGCTAGATTTACACTAACTGAAGACGCTGAGCGTTTTTACAGCAGGCAAGATATTAATATATTAAAAATTAACAGGTCTTTAATCCAACTATAAAAATCCCCTATAAAAATTTAATTATTGTTTAATAGTTTTAGTTCCAAATCAGAGAACCAGCTTTGTAGATAAAAGTGAAACCAAAAGGACTTCAGTTGGATAATTAATGACTGTATGTCTCTCTATGTTACCTCATTTATAACTCTATTCTTTTTAGGGAGCTGGTTCCTTTACTCTTTCATTAATCTGTGCATGCACATAAAAATGAAACATAAAAATAACACCTCCATGAGATAAACGCTGCAAACATCAGAGCCTCAACCAGCACCGACAGACCAACAGCTGGACTCACCTTGATGTCGTCAATAAAGGCGATGTCTTCTTTCTCGATGGCCTTCTGGGTCCAGACGAGTGCCGTGTACGACTTGGTCTTTTCTTCTTCTCCCTCCTTCATCCGACTCATGGCCTCTCTGCAGTTCACACAATGGAGCCGATTTCTCTTCAATTTTTATCAAAAGTTTGGCATAAAAAAAGGAGAAAGAGAAGAATCCGTTTCCTTACCTGGTTACGATCTGCAGGTCTCTCACTTTGACTTTCTCTGAGGAATCGTTTATGGTCTGCAGGCAGATCGACAGTCAAACAAGTTCAGATTAACAGAGATTTGCACAAAATCTCCCATATAGAGATTAGAGATAGATAATACTTTCATACATTGTTGCTCTGCTACAGTTCTATGGAGCCTAATTGGGGCCACAAAGTTTGTTAAAAACCTCATTTTGTTTAAACTGTAGATTTTTAAAAGGGGAAAATAATTTGAAAATTAACACACACACAAAAAAAAGTTTAAAAATGAAAAGTATTTTTGAAATAGTAAACAAGATTTGGATCTCAACAAAAATGTTTTGAACAGAAAAAAAATTAAAAATAAAGACATTTTTAAACTGAAAATAAAACAAAATGTTTGACACAGGCCACTATGCTTTAAATAGATTAGTAGTTCCTGAACGCAACAGCTGGGAATATTTTTTCGGGGCCCTACGCTGAGGGGCCAGCAGCTTGCAACTGAAAAAAGATGTTGAACCCGAAAAGTTGCCTCAAATATTTATTTTCAATTTTCAATTAGGCTTTGCAGGGTTTTTTTGTTTTGTTTTCTATGTTGTTGAACAAACTTTATTGTCCTAAATTAGCTCTGTCGTTGCTATTAATTGTAAATGTTTTGTTAAAAGTTTTTTTTTTTTTTGTATGTTTAAATGGTAAATCTGTCATGTAAAGGAGGAAGAAAATAAAAATTATAACATTAGGCCTAATCTTACATCAACATAAAAATCATTTTTAAAGAATTATATAGATACAAGGGAAGGTTTATAACTGTTTAAGCTGTTGAACAAACTTTGATTTAAAAACAAACCACCAAACTTCCCTGAAATGAAAAGAAAACCAACAATA